AGTCTTACACTGCTAAATTAGGGACGGCTAGCGCAGATAGCCCTCTTGTAGCTTTGCGCGAAATTCAAAACAAACAAAATTCTGAAATAATTTTAAATTTGTTTGTAAGTTTATGTACTATTAAAACGATAAAATTAGTGTCGTTTTATTCAGTCTGTTAAACTAATCTATAGTTTCATATGATTGCAATTTGCAGCGAAAAAAATAATAATTAAGACATCTGATGTGACCAACATTTTTTGTATGTTAGACGATGATTCGTATCATATTTGATATAAAAAAAAAAGGAGGCCATTTAATTTGTGTTTGCTAGTTTTAGCATAAACAGTAAAGAAATGAATGTTTTTGCTGTTTTTATTAATGTTAAAAGCGTAAGTAAATTTAACTTGATATCAATTAATATTAACTTTCGATCAGAGTAAGCTAAGTATTTTAGAGCGAAGCTGAAAAATACCCTGGCTGTCGTCACTTTCTTGTTGAGTGTTAAACACTAGTGGGTCGAGCGTGGCCTAATGGTTAGTGTAACTGGGTATAGATCTATAGGTCCAATGTTCACGTTCCGTTGCCGCCAAAAAATAAATAAAAAAATCATGCTATGCACTTTGGGGCATAGGTGTGTTGTAACGGTGACATTCAAATCCCACCATTCGCTCAGACAAAAAAAAAAAAAGTCCAAGAGTTGGCGGTGGGTGCTGTTGACTAGTTAGTCGCCTTCGTTCTAGTTTATCAGCTTAAAACTTGAGGTGGCTAGAGGACATAGCCCTTGAGTAGCTTTCCACGTGTATCCGAACAACAAAATTAGTTAAACACAGGAGACATTTCATGCGTGCTTGTTGCTTTCGGTAATAATCGGTGAAGACGTTTTTTATTTACTTGTAATATTAAACATTAGACAATAGTAGTTTTTGTTTGTTTGTTTTTTCTCTAAATTTTGACATTAAATGTATATACTTTTAATTAAAAGTTTGTTGAATTTCGCGCAAATGTTCGCGAGGGCTGTCTGCGCTAGTCATCCCTGATTTTGAAGTGAGAAAACTAGAGGGAAATCAACTAACTAACTATGGTACTGATCGTAACATTATAACGCCCCAAAGAGTGAGCATGTTAAGCGGCGGGTTCCGATCCCGCAAATTCTTAGTCGAGCGACCGAACCACCAGGTAATCAGGCACGTATAACAGTAATGTACATTTTTGGTAAGAGATAATGAATTCATGTAAGTTTTATTTTAGATTTAAAATAATTAGATAGTGTTGTCTCTGCCATTTGGATAATGTAAATTTTGTTTTGGCTGTCATGTTCTGTTATAAATAATAAGAGTATTTGATACTTAATTAATTACTTATTAATAATTATTAAATACTTATTAATTACTTATGTTGATATTATTTTCATGTGTGTGCATAGACGAAGCCAAGAGACCACCAGGCCTGGTGGTTAGGGCGCTCAACTCCCAATCTGAGGGTCGCGGGTTCGAATCCCCATCACACCAAACATATTCACCCTTTCAGCCGTGGGGGGCGTTATAACGTAACGGCCAATCCCACTATTCATTGGTAAAATAGTAGCTCAAGAGTTGGCGGTGGGTGGTGTTGACTAGCTGCCTTCCCTCTAGACCAAGCCCCCCCCTCCCCCCCTCCCCCAATCCCAGTTTCAGAAAAGATATTTCATTTCTCTCGGAGAAAAATTAAATACATACCCTCCGTCCACCAAAAATTTGTCTAGGCTACGGCACTGTCCCCCTTATTCCTGTTTGGAACCGTTACGCGTATGTTTATAATTGGTGGCTATGCGTTATTTGTCTTAGTCACATATATGTCAGGTCGAGTTCTATTTTTCTGTGTTTGAGGTTAATTCGATGCCCCAATGGACGTTCGTTGTTCTCCGCGACATGTGGGTGAACATTTCAGCTGAGGACGCGGCCAGTACAAGTTCCGCGTGTCCTTACAAGCGTTTAATCGCAACTCGAATGAACTTTTTCTGGTACATACGCCTAGAGAGGTTTGTAGGCTGAGTCCTGGCGGTTGTAAGGGGTGCCTCGAGTACGGTGGACTTACGTTATTGGTTAATCTGCCTTGGATCTCGCCAATCGTAGAGGAGGTTACCGAAACTGGTTATTTCTGGAGGGAGAAGTAACATGGATAGTGCCGGGTACAGAAACAGTCTTGTGGGATGGGGGCTCAACAAATATACTCGCACTAGTCAAATCTCGCATTGTTACAACGCTTTGTAATTGCTAGGAATGCCCATACTAGCCCGCCGCTGCCCATGTACGTGCCCGTGTGTCGGATTTTGTTCGGTTCTACAACTTTGTAGAAGACTCGTAGGTAAGATAATGTTACAAACAGTGCTTCTAAGTTTTTCGCTGTTCACTTCAATCACTTTATATATACGTTTTAAATTGTAGTGTTACTGGTTATCTATCGAGATATTTGAATCTTTATTAAATGTTATAGTTTTAACTTCTATCTCACTCCACCACACTAAAGAATAAAAAAGAATCCTTGCCAGTTTCTTTTATGACTCAAGGGAAACTGCTCGTCCTGCCTTACCAGTTTCCTTTATGACTCAAGGGAAACCGCTTGTCCTGCCTTACCAGTTTCCTTTATGACTCAAGGGAAACCGCTCGTCCTGCCTTACCAGTTTCCTTTATGACTCAAGGGAAACGCTCGTCCTGCCTTGCCAGTTTCCTTTATGACTCAAGGGAAACTGCTCGTCCTGCCTTGCCAGTTTCCTTTATGACTCAAGGGAAACTGCTCGTCCTGCCTTGCCAGTTTTCTTTATGACTCAAGGGAAACTGCTCGTCCTGCCTTGCCAGTTTCCTTTATGACTCAAGGGAAACTGCTCGTCCTGCCTTGCCAGTTTCCTTTATGACTCAAGGGAAACCGCTCGTCCTGCCTTACCAGTTTCCTTTATGACTCAAGGGAAACCGCTCATCCTGCCGTCTATATCACGCATGTTTCTTGGATGGTTTGTTTATAGTTAAGCACAAAGCTACACAATGGGCTATCTGTGCTAATGAAAGGCGTAGAAAGTGTTGTCATTACGTAGAGCAATAACTTTATGTTAATATCTATCTATGTATGTGTGTGGTATCATCGAGCCTGTCCGAACAACAGTTGTCACACTTTGTTTTAAGCTAGTTAATTTTAATTCGGTTTATGACATTTCTCGTTTAGATTTAATTACTTGTACATTGAACGAATTTTAACAGCGACATCATAGTTTTTGCCGTAGAAAAAAAATGAACTATTGAGTTACTCTTGTTTAATTGTAAATTATAGGCCTAAGATACCTTGTGTAAATACATGAAGAAATATCTGAAGTATATAGGTGATTCAAAATAAATTAAAAAGGCAGTTGAACTTGTAACAAACATTTTAACTTTACCGAGTATAAAATAATCACTTACTAATAGAACTTTAGATATGGGAAGGATTTCTTGAGCGCCCCCTATCTTTTTAAATGAGTAAAAGAGTGAGTTAAGTGACGAGATATAATACACAGATACACATTAAAATACTATAGGTGTTGTAGTAATTACTTACTATTTTCATTAATAAAAGATATATTAAAACGTTTAATTTTGCATTATTGACTCTACCCTATTCGTCATCTGCGGGTTGTGAGATCGAAACATGCTCGCCGTTTCAGCAGTGATAACGTGATTGTCAATCCCATAATTCGTTGTTCATGTGTAAACCAAGAGTCTATTTAGGTAGTGTATCACTTCAAAACTAGGGACTGCTAGCTAGCGCAGATAACCCTCGAGTAGCTTTGTGAATAATAAAAATAAAAAAATCTAACGCTCTCATTTCTTGAATGTATACAGACACGTTCGGATAAATATTCAGTTGAAATGCCAGTTTGATAACGTTTTTCCGATTTTATTTTTTGTTATATAGTTTGTTTGTTTTTCACATACAAAAAAAAAAACACCAAATTTTTTATCAAATAGTTGGTATAGACGAGCAAGACCTTATTGGTCGGTCGATAAAATGAATTTATTTTCGTTAACTTGATAATACTTAGTAGTTTTCGTTCACTTTATTTATAAATTCCAGTCATAATCTAATCACCTAAGGATTACAAGTTTTTATAAATACACGGAGGCAAATATCAGGATAAGAACTTCAGATTCCTATGTGATTGAACTTTTTTTGGACAATTTTTTTATTATTATCATACGTAGCATGAGAAGGCATGTTAAAATGTTTGTAAGATTTGTAAATACTATAATTAGACTCGCTAATAAATACGCTATAATCACGTGTTTAAACGTTTCACCACCAAATTTCAAACATCATATTCGACAGTTTCGACACGGCTCGCGTCGCGTTGCTTTTAAAACGTGCTCCGAATTTTGGGGCTGTGTGACGGTTAAATCCTGCTATTCTATCAAGCAAAAGCAGCCTAAGATTTGATGCTGGGTGCTGTTTACTAGCTAGCTGCCTTTTTTCCAGTCTATCAGTTTCAAATGAGGGACGACTATGCGCTGATAACCCTTGTGTAGCTTTGTGCGAAATTTGAATAGGTTACTTGATACAAAGTCATACATTCTTATACTTCAATCTTATCTGTTAACGATAAATTACGTTCTATGACGTCAGCTGTTTCAAAATGTGTTCTTAGTATTGAAGTTTAAAAAGGTACCTGATGATGACAAAACCTTGTCGAAACGTTGTACATTTGCTGTCATGTTAAACTTATATTAAAGTGTTTTTTTTTCATTACCCATTCAAGCCGTCTCCAGCCATTATTAGTCTCAAAGTGGGTTCCTCGTCATCGAATTTAAAAAAGGTTTGTATAGTGCCGGGTAGCCTGATTTCATTTTCAATTTGTTTGCGTTAATGATAAGCCTGTTGTAAACATTGTATCAAGGACTTGTGGTTAAACCTTGCATTTATGGAAAAACTCAACACGTGTTTCGTTTTATTGACGAGTTAACGAAACAGCCAATCAAATGCTTGGTTTCAGTCGTGTGTATGGGGTTGCAGTTTTATTCCAGATTTGTAGCACGCACGCATCTTCCCACCCCTCCAATATATAAAATTGTTCCATTCCCAAGATGCGGTTAATCGCGATAAATAAATTATTACATGTGTCATTCTGACCGTTAAAACATTCATATGAATGTATATTTTTAAAAAATAGTTGAACTTTGTACCACAAACTAATGTGTATATCGAGTTCTAAAGTTTACATTTTGCATAGCAATGGTTTAAAAAAATAATTCCAGTGTTTTAAGATAAAATATTCTGGATGCGATTTACCGACCATTTTATGTGCAAACAAAATTGAAGGGAAGTTCAGCACTTCAACACCAAGAAAGCAATATATTATTATGCTAATCACGCATCTCGTAAAAAAAAAGTAAACAAATAAAAACTACCTGTACACCCCCTGTAGGCTAAAGATATGCTGTTTTTGTTATTTTTTTATTTACAGTGTATCAAATCCTGAACAAAATATACGTCAGCCACGTTGTCATATTCAACGGTGTTTGTAGGTGTTTTTGACCGCGAGAGGGATTTCCTGAAGGTCACAAACATCCGCTACCATAGTCTAGATAGCGTGTGACCTTGACGTTCTTCGACCCCGAAAAAATTACACGAGAGGTAATAGGACGTTGTGAATGTTTGGGAACGGTCCCCACAGGTCGCATCTGTCTTAAAGAACTGTTTAAGCATGTGAACTAAATTATCGTGTTAGAATGTTGACGTATTTCAGTGTCTGTATTTGTGGCAAAAACGGTTTTAAATATTGAGTCGGATGGCGTTTAAGATCTGATTTTTGTTGTTGTTAGATCTATTTAATCATGTCTTTTTGACTAAAATAAAACATGCTCAAACACGTTTATTTCTAGACAGTTCACCTGTACTCGGAGGTTGGTTTAACGAAGACATTATTAATGTTTGACTTTCAAACCTATCCAGCAAGTTGTGTATCTTTGTTGTGCGTTTGTTATTCTCTTCGCACTCTGAAGTATTATCGAATATTAGCCACAATCCGCAAAACATTTACTGTAGTTTTCATGCCCTTCGCTTGAATTTTTCATATTCTGTCATTTTCACGCACGGCATTTAAGCTACGCTTTCTTACAGGCAATATGTGATATATCGATAAATTTTGGTCTACGCTCAGACAAACAAACTCGCGTAACTTAACATTATTTAATAAAATTATACGGAAAGTAAACAATAAAGTATACTAATGATATTTTTGATAGTGTCCAGAATATAAAACAGTTGCGAGCGTTCATTGTAAGACAGAGTTTTATGAGTTAAAACGAAGAATAAAACCTGTACTAAAGAAAAATTAGCTAAAAGGTGTTTATAGCAGTCTATGAAACGGATAACCGAAGCTTAATTATTGCATAGTAAAGAAAATGTAAAAGTGTAATGAAGGCAAACTTAGCTGATTATGCAGAAACGTCTGAATGAGTGTTCCCAAAGTGATAAGCAAATGATTTTGAACAAACAGCGCATGTGTATTTTAGACCTAAATAAGTCGACAAAGTCCACGGCAATTGTATTTAGTGTAATGATAATTTATTTTTCTAGAAAATTAGCAAGCAATTAAGTGTTGTTTGTGTGAACTACTTTACATATTTAAAAATAAAAAAAAACTAAAGTTGAAATCGAAGCCGTTCGTCACACGATACAACGACATTGTGCCATCGTGTACCATACTCGTTGCATTAAAAAAGTTTCGCTAAGCAAAAAACAGGTAAGGTGATT